GAACCAACCCTGGGTCATACTTCTGTGTCTTTTACCCTCCAAAGCACTGGCCCTGTTCCATCATTGCTATTTGATATGTGAGGAAGCTGGGCCTAAAGGGGTGGGGTACTGGGGTGAACCTCTCCCTCAGTGGGCCAGAACCCAAGCACCTTCATCCCAGGTTCTACTCAACCCCAACGGGGCCTCTCAACACCTCCCACTGGATGTGGGGAGTTCTCCAGAACTCTTTTTATCTTCCCAAATGAAACTCTGCATCCACTGAACACTAAGTTCCCACCTCTACCCCCATCCTCAAGAAACAACTATTCTTCCTGCCTCTGCGAATGTGATTTTTGTAGGGACCTCATGTCAGTGGAATCACACAGCATTTGTCCTTTTCTGTCTAGCTTATTTCACTCAGCAGAACGTCTTCAAAACCATTAAATTTGTTAGTGTTCTTTTGCCTCTTTGATTAGAATATGTTCATTTCTAGTTAAAACTGATAGAATCTTCTTAGAAATTATGATAAATGATATTTTAAGGGAAACCATTTTGTCTTTGTTTATAAAAACAAAGGGACAAGAGAAAGCATTTTCCTAGTTTTCTAAACAGAGTTTATGCTCGGAGGGTGTGGCTCAGTGGTTAAGCATCGACCTATGAGCCAGGAGGTTGCTGGTTCAATTTCTGGTCAGGGCACATACCTGGGTTGTGGGTTCGCTCCCCAGGGTGGGGCGAGCAGGAAGCTGCCAATCAGTGATTCTCTCTCATCATTGATGTTTCTAGCTCTCTCCGTCTCCCTTCCTCTCTGAAATCAATAAAAAAATATATTTTTAAAAAGAGTTCTTAAATAGAATATGCAGAAAGCAAAGGTGCAAATTACCTGGAACAATGCTAAATTTCTAATTATTGTCTAACTCCTAATCAGCTATCCTATAATTTTATTTACTTTGGAACAATATTTTAAAGTTTTTGTTGAAATAAATGAGAGCAGCAAATTGTATTAGTGACTTTATTGGTAATTTTAAGCACTTCAGAACTCAGATTTTTATTTTTATCCCCGAAAGAAAACTTGAATGAACATAATTGATCTTTTTAGAGAAAACAAAAAACAACGTAGGAAAGGGGGTGTAAAAAATAAGGAAAGAGAAACAAATTCTTAGCATATTTTCCTTTCATGTATTCTCACTGACAAAACTAAGAGAAAATAGGAAACTGAGAAGCAAAATTAATCCTAATTAGGTTCATTTTGGGAAAGCAATCCCTTTGCGTGATTACCCATTGTGAGGTATACAATGGGCCCCCTCTGTGCAATGAGCACCCCACTGTGGAGGGAAAGGGCCTGGAGACTGTGATCATCCTGGACTCACTCCTGACCTATGTCTCAATACCTGAAGCGATAGAGGACTGACAGAGGAGAAAAACATCCCAAAGACATACAATCAAAGAATGCATGGCCTCTCAGAATGGATATTAAAGGGGCAAATATGAGATCCCCTGACAATCAAATCTATGGATGACCTGGAATCACAGGATTTGGTGGTGATTTTCATGGTAGAGATAACACTAACACTACCTGGAAGATGAAATCTTGCTAATTCTTTGTGATTGCCACTCGTGCTATTCACATATTTTGGATTAAGAATGATAATGAAATGTGAACATACCCAATTTTTCATACCTGTGTAATGACCAAGTTAATCTAAACTTTCAAAGGTAACTAACTCAGTGGCACTGCCCCACAAACTCCTCCCAGGCGTGGGAGACAATGTTTCATCAACACATTCCAGGAAAAATGGACTGGTAGAGCGAGGTGGAGTAAGATGGCCTCAGTGACATTTCTTACCCAAGACCTCTCTCCCCA